GTACAGTTCTGCCTGAAATGAAATAAATGTATCGGGTTTTGATGTAACTGAAAGAAATTGATATTCATAATACGGAACAGTTGGATTTAATAAAAGGAATGGTGCTCCAATATTAATTTTTCTCGTATATTAAGTTTAATTATTTAAATAGTTCATAGGATGTACAAAATGTTTCCAAGTATGTCACAGTTACCGTTAAACGACTAAGAACCGCGAATATACAAAAAATAAATAAATGCTTAATTGGAGATTCGAACCACTGTTAAAACAGTTTACTCGACACGTTCAACCGGCAACTTGATAACGTCGTGGCTGCAACTGAACATAACGGACATACTTCCAATTAAATCTACTTAACTTCATTTTTTCAATTGATGCTTAATGTTGTTGTGTACAAAAGTATTTAACATAAAGAAATGCGACTACTGAAGAAAGGAAATGTAAAAACTCGAATCATAAGAGACTTCATCGGGCGAAAAACGACGAAAAAATCGGTTCTTGATTTTTCTAAGTACGGCGCACCTCACCGAAAAATCTGAAAAAAATAGGGTATAATAGTTGGATTGAGGCACATCCGCCATAAAAATATAAATGATGTCACTCGAAATCTTTTATATGAAATCAGCATTTTTTTATGCATTCTGACATTTTTTATTTTTCACGATCGAATTACACAACGAAACTCTCTGAAAAAATTCCTTAATATCGAGTATCGTCCCATGAACAAGTGAGAATTTTTTCAGATTTTTTGTTAAACGTTTAATACGAAAAGTATGGCAAAAACGCTAAAACCGATTAACCCCCTTAACTACCCTCCGGATTGAGATAGAGGATTAATAATTGGCACGAAACGTTTTCTTTGAAAATTCTATCGAATGGCTTATTGCAAGTTGAATTTCGTTCAAGGGCATATTTTACTATTTTATCCGGCTAAACTGCTAGACCCTTTTCTTAGACTGATGACCGCTCGGGAACTCCGGGTATCTTTAACATCTTTCTTTTGTCATTTTGAGTTTCCGAAAGTGTTTTGATCAAAGTATTCTTTTCTTTATGCTATTTGCACAAATGTATAACTTTCTAGAACAGAACTCCAAATTTTTTCAATTATCACATCAACAATTCTAATCGATAAGTTCAGTAACGATTAAACTATAATCGATATTTTGATTAAACTATTTCTGAACTGATGGTTAACATTCGGTCGTTAATTGAGGTTTTTCCTAATTAAGAATTGGTATTTAATTCTTAGAGTTGGCTATTTGAGCTAATTGTCAATCATCTCCTCGTCTGCATTTTCCGTCAACGATCATTCTATGTTGCAAAGCACCAGTTCTCGTCCGATCACTGAAGTTAAACAGCATTGGGCGCGGATAGTACTTAGATGGGTGACCGCTTGGGAACTCCGCGTATCGTTGGCATCTTTCTTTTGTCATTTCGAGTTTCCAAAAGTGTTTTGATCAAAGTATTCTTTTCTTTATGCTGCTTACGCAAACTTATAATTTTTGGAGCAGGATTTCCAATTTTTTAATTACCATATTAATAATTAACGATTAAATTATAATCGATAAGTTCAGTTTTCTTTATCTTTAATTGATAAATAAATTTCAATCGTTAATTGATCGAATCGTTAATTGACAAATGTTTTAACTACGGCTTAAAGTTTAATTTATAGTTAACCCTTCACCCTGTCAACTTAAGATTTGAAAATGCAATTTTAATTCAGCTGTTGCGCATGCACCCACGGTCTGTGTCTTCCTTATGTATTTCGGCGGCACCATTCAGTACCCAACGTTGTGTTACGTCTTTCAGCTCCATGTTTTTCACGATGATCACAAGATCACGATAACGAGTCGTGATTATACTCAATCACGTTCGTAATCGCGATTTTCTATAGTACCTAGCCTTGCTATAATCGTGGTATTCATATCCAGTTAATAGCTGCTAAAATAACCTGAAATATCTCACGATTTTTGAAATATCTAATATAATATTAGAAATATTATTATTTATTTTGAAAAATGGGTACAAAATATATAAGAGTAATTATAACGAGTATCACAGCCTTCTTCAATACCTAGCCATGCTGAGAGACTTGGCAACACTGTTAATGGCGGAGTTAGGAGTCCTATTTTCGAGAGTAACAGGAATGTGCTAGGAAATATAATTAACGTTTTTTTTAATATATAATTANCCTCGATGGTTGCAACTGTGGATTACCACATGCTGCAATCCACTTGAGGTATCGCTCTTTATCTGTTTTGACATTGGGAAATCTCCTTAGCTTCACATTTCCCAATGTCGAAAACTTGCAGTTCGTCACTGCACATTTGCGATGATCCATTTTGAAATATTTATATTACCTAGAATAAATAAATGCAATTAATAAGAGTTCAATTTATTGAATATAATTGAAATTTACTTATCTTTTTATTGTCTATACTGTATATACTACAGTATGCTCCTCTTCTTCCTAAAACTTCCAATTAATTTTCGACGATTAATTGAACTTTACACGCTTTACACCACTTCGATCACCACGATCACCACTCACACGAATTTAAAAGGCAACCGACTTTTTATAACCTCGAATCTTTATGAAACGTGGTCTTTCTTTTCGCGCCAAATTCTGGTTGACACTCTATACGCATGTGTAGTGCTGTCACTAGCGCCTCCTACCATTGGTTAACTAACTAAGCATTACACCGACAGTAGCACGAATGTGGTAGTGCTCACGGACATATTTTAAAGATGTGGTTGTGATGTTTAGTTCGTGAACCATTGGTACGAGGCGCTACAAACTTTGCTTCAACTCGCCCCACTTAGGTTTGCCCCCCCAGATGTTCGCCCATTCCTCATATTGTAACCGATGATCTATTAGTAAAGAGACAACAAAAATAATTCAGATTTTTTAATTAATATACCGAACATTGTCAAATAACGTACTAAATCTTAATTACTTTTTAAATAGCGAATTTCTGTCTTCTCCATTGCCTCCTCTATCGTGCGATTTATGTTTGCATCTTATCCAATCGTACGATAACCTTACACATTAATCTGTGTCGAAACAGACCATTAATATAAATCAAGTACTGCTGTTGATCACAGTATCTATATAGTTGTTTGTCGTGAGCTACGATAAAAAACAATTTTTTATCGTTCGATTGATTTTATTAATCAATAATCCCGGAAAATTCCTTAATGCAATAGTGGGGATAATAGGCACTAATAGTATCTTTCAATATACTACAATCAAATTATACTAGCAGCATCTATTATATCTTATCTTTCCCACTTTGACATTCCTCCCACTACCGTCAAGTAATTGGCCCGGCAATCTCGAGCTCGAGAACCGCTCGTCGCCGACAGACTGACAATTCGTTGGATGCTAATTGCCAGTCACAAAACCACGTCAACGTTTTATACAATCCTCGATAGGTAACAAAAGATCGTAAGTAGCAATCAACCTGACGGCGAACGATTCTCGTACGTTCCTATTCGCTCGAAACTTTCTACCCAGAAACACCTGTTGCTCTACATTTATACATAAACAGACAGTCAATCGAACGCATTTAATTAGAGAAATGTCGGTGACTGTGGAACCGCTCTCAGGACCGTACACGCTCGGCGAAGGGCCGCACTGGGACCACGTATCTCAAAAGCTGTACTTCGTCGATATCGAGAACGAGAAAATACTGCGATACGATCCTGCAACAGGCGTTGTTAACTTCGCCATCGTAGGTAAGTAATCACTTATCGTTTCCAATTGTGTGCATAACATATATGGATTCCTTTACCAGTAATCTTACATATCGTTTGTATCGAGTTACGAATACTTATTTAAACGTTTATCGTAGGAAACGGACCAGTAGGATTCGTTATACCCGTGGAAGGCACCCGTAACAAATTCGTCGCGGGATCTAGCAGAGACGTCGTTCTCGTTTCTTGGGACGGCGAGAAAAACGTTACAAAATGCATGCCTCAGACGCTGGTCACTGCAGACAGTAAGAGTACCGAGACCAGATGGAACGATGCGAAAGCAGATGCGTCTGGAAGACTGTGGGGCGGTTAGTCGAGGACATCAAAAATATACATAGGCTGCGGATTTAAAATCATATTTTGTACATTAGTATGACGAGTTCATTTTGCATAAAAATCCGCAGTGTATGAAAATGTTTAAATTATATGGACAATCTCATAAAGTATCCTGTCTCGATTAGGAACAATGGCTATAATCAAGGATGGAGTATGCCCGCCTAACATGGGATCTTTTTACAGCATGGACGCTGATCTCACGTTAAAAACACATGTCACTCCTGTAACTATAAGCAACGGACTAGCCTGGAATTCTAACAACGATACGCTTTATTATATCGATTCACTCACCTATCAGGTCGTGGCGTTTAATTACAATGCTCAAACCGGAGATATATGTAAGAAATATACAATGCGATGAAATATGATACAATAGATTCAACTTTATGTATAATGAATTTCTCTTTTTTAACAGCTAACAAGAAAACCGTTTTCGATCTTCGAGAGAATAATATTAACGGAATTCCAGACGGTATGACTATAGATACAGATGGGAATCTGTGGGTGGCTGTGTTCGGTGGAGCCGGTGTAAGTATTATTACTAGACTGCAGATTCATATGCAAAATGATTTGAAGATAATAACGTGCGTTGTCACGACCGTGGCGTTGTACATACATTCATTGTAAACCGGGCGTTCGTAACACAAAAAATGGAACAATTTTTTAGTCTGCCATTGATAGGGGAAATATTTACAGCCACAAGCTGTAGATAGATGTACTTAAAAATCTTCGTTACGTGTTAATGCATACTTAAACATTAACTTTAGTTAGCAAAAAGAAAGTAGTTTCTTGAAACAACTTTCAAACAGTCTGCCATTTATTTGAGCACTAGGCAAGATTGCGCAATCCATGAAAATTATCCTTATTGGCAGATGGTTTTCTCCAGTACAAGAATAAAGCGTACGTATGTTAGTTAGCAATTAAATCGTATAACTAAGAACAATTTTTTACAATCTGCCAAGCACCAATTTAGGCTAATGTTAGCGTAAAGTTGACGAAATTTCACAAGGCAGACTGTTTGAAAGTTGTTTCAAGAAACTACTTTCTTTTTGCTAACTAAAGTTAATGTTTAAGTATGCATTAACACGTAACGAAGATTTTTAAGTATATCTATCTACAGCTTGTGGCTGTAAATATTTCCCCTATCAATGGCAGACTGTAAAAAATTGTTCCATTTTTTATGTTACGAACGCCCGGTCTATTGTTCTATAAATTGCACAGTGCTATCTACAATTTTCTGTACAGATATACAAATGCATAAAATCTGCAGTCTAACTATTAATTAACTGTTACAAAATTCTTGTAATTGATATATGATGATGAATATATGTG